TTAAAACAAAGTTAAGAAGTTTGTAAAATACTTTTGGAAAACTCTATGAACTTCTCTTGACTTGACTCTTGACTTTCCTTGAATTGAATTATGGATTCAAGGTTCATGATCCCATGTTTATGATTGGTTCCATGATGTTTAGACGTATCTTAGAGTGTAGAAATAAACTAGAAAACATGGGTACGTTGCTAGGGAACTAGTACAGAAAAAAGTGGGAAAACGTGGGAGAACTGGCGCCCCTGGTGCTCTGAGAGACGTGGGGCGCCAGGAGGAAAACTTCAGAGGGTTGGGTTGGGGCGCTCTGGCTGGCGCAGTGCCCAAAGCCCAAATTTCAAAGCCCAGGAGGGGCGCTTTGGCTGGCGCCGCGCCCAAAGCCCAAATTTCCGACTTTTCTTTTTCGTTTTTCAACTCTCAACCCCCTAATTTCGATTAGTTTTATCCCAAACTCTTAGAATCGACTATATCATCAATATATGCAAGATTCTACTCGAAAAAACCACTAAATTGATGAATCGAACTCAAGAAACTTCAAAAACAAGAACTCATAAGATTTCAAACGAATTATCATCAAGAATTCATAATATTTGCTTTCAAAACAACATAACTTCACTAAATTGAATCATGATTGGCGCATGGGTGTAAAAACCCAACGCTATGTGATCTCACATACCTCGTAGGATTAAATCCTTGGCGAAATCCCCAACCAAAATTATACAATCTTGACGAATCTTGACTTTTCTTCTCCTTTCGCCTCTTTTCTCTTTTCTCCAAGCCCTTGGGTGAATTTCCAATTGTATCAATTGATCTAATTTTGATTAGACCCCAATTAATTACCAAAAAATGAAATTAAGTCATGGGTGGTGAAAAGACCACAATACCCTTCTAAAATCTGGATTAGACTTTCCTTATCTGAACAACCCAACTTCAAATGGGTATATCTCACTCATACAAACTCGAAATCGCACAAACTCAGCGGCGTTGTTAAGATAATTCAAAGATATTTTCTACGGTATTTGGAAGCACACCTAACTCATCTTGATCTATGAGTTATGATTGTTTGAAGTTGACCAAAAACTCTAACTTAGCATAACTTAACCAATTTTCCAAAGTTGTCCTTCTTTCCAAAAACAACTCTTTCTAATTCTAGTTCTTTCAAATAGCGAGGTGTTACAAGATAGCAGCCTAGTAACAAGAGTAAATTCAACAATTCCAAATTATAGTTGTACCCCATTAACAACAAAGTATAAAGAGTTAGTATCAATGTTATACATTTGTCGCATCATAATGTTGTGTAGAACACGTCCATGATATACAATTGGCGGCAAATCTAAAACACCCCAAAACTTTTTTTCTAAACATAGAAAGTTGTTTTTTGTTAACTTTGAAGTTATGTTCGCAATGACAGAAACATTAAAACTATGGTCAATATTTGGTTTATAATCAACGTCCATATGAATAAAAAATTGGCCTTCTTATAAAAAAATAACAACATGCAAGTTACTAGACTAGGCAAATAAGAAATAACACAAAAAGTACAATTAAAAAAACATAAAATATAACAAGATACCAAAACAACATATGTGTTAGATATTTTAATTAATTAAGCTAGTTTCTGCTTTCCTAGTTTTAAGGGTATATGGTTGCTATTTCCAAGTTACTGAAAACGTGTGACTTAGTAGGTCAATTTTAATTTCTTTTATGACTTAGTGGTTGAGATAATGTAGGATGTGTATTGCCTTTATAAAGGTTGTTCATTGTTTCAATTTAGTGAGAAGTTTACTACCTCCCAAACTCTTTTGTGTTTATCCTGATTTCTTCCCAGTTTTCTAATAGTGGTATCAAGAGCCAGTGAGGTGAACGTGTTTTAATTGTGAGTGAGTGATGGCTTCAGAAAGTTTTGTTCAACCTGTTATTCCATGCTTTGATGGTCATTATGACCATTGGAGCATGTTGATGGAAAACTTTTTGAGGTCCAAAGAGTTTTGGGCAGTCGTTGATGGTGGATTCCAAGAACTTGTGGCTAGTGTTGTTCAAACAAATGCTCAACAGACAGAGCTTGAAGCACTGAAGTTGAGAGATTTGAAGGCGAATAATTATCTTTTCCAAGCCATTGATCGTTCAATATTGGAAACAATTCTTTGCACGTATACGTCAAAGTAAATTTGGGACTCCATGAAGAAAAAGTACCAGGGAAATGCAAGGGCAAAGTGAGCACAACTTCAAACTCTACGAGGTGAGTTTGAGACCTTGCGTATGATGCCGGGAGAGTCGGTGTCAGTGTACTTCTCATGCACTATGACAATTGCCAACAAAATGTGAATTCATAGAGAGAGGCTTGAAGACGTCACCATCGTTGAGAAGATCCTGCGGTCCATATTGCCGAAATTCAATTTTGTTATTTGCTGCATTGAAGAGTCCAAAGATTTGGATACTCTTTCACTTGATGAATTACAAAATTCTTTAATGGTTCATGAGTAGAAGATTGTTCAACAGGATGTAGAAGAGCTAGCATTACAAATAACCACAACCTCCAAAGATTCTAGGCACAGAAGGAGCAAGTGTAAGGGAAGAAACTCAGAGAAAATTGAAGAGGGAAATCGAAAAAAGAATGGTCAGCATGATCGTAATCAACAACACTCGTCCAATGGGAAAGAAAGGTTTGCAGATAAGTCTCATATCAAGTGTTATAAATGTCACAGGTATGGTCATTACCATTCTGAATGTCGTATAAATTTGAAAAAAATACGTGGGGAGAACTCTAATTTTGTAGAAGTAATTAAGGAGGAAGAGGTCTTTTTGTTAATGGTGAGCCAATCCTCAGAACAATACCACAAAATTTTATAGTATTTAGACACGAGCTGTAGAAACCATTTGTTTGGAGAAAAATCTGCATTTTCTGAACTAGATGAAACTTTTCGCACAACAGTCAAGTTTGGGGATGATTCCCGTATTGCTGTCAAAGGGAAAGGGAAGGTGAAACTCCAAACAAAGTCTTCATCTATGCAGATTATCTCTGATGTTTTCTTTGCACCAGACCTGAAAACAAATCTTATCAATGTGGGTCAACTTCAAGAGAACGGCTACGAAGTGTCTATCAATCATGGAATTTGCAGGATGTGAGATTCTAATCTTGGATTGATCGCTAAAGCTAAGATGACGGCAAATAAGCTTTTCCCACTTGATATGCATAATATTGGGTCTACCAATTTTTATTTTTCAACAAAGTTGAATAGTCAAGCATGGCTTTGGCACTACAGATATGGGCATTTGAAATTTGGAGGACTGAAAATGTTGCAGCAAAAGAAGATGGTTAGGGGTCTTCCTAATTTTGATATGCCTGTAGATATTTGTAAAGATTGTGTCATTGGAAAGCAATCTCGTGATAGCTTTCCAAAAGGAGAAGCATGGAGAGCTAAAAGGCAGCTAGAGTTGGTTCACTCAGATATTTGTGGACCAATAAACCCAATATCAGACGAAGGAAAACGTTACGTTATAACATTTATTAATGATTTTAGCCGAAAGACATGGGTTTATTTTCTGCAAGAAAAATTTAAAGCTTTTACCAGTTTCAAAAGCTTCAAAGCTCTTGTTGAGAAGGAGACATGATGTTCCATTAAGATTCTTCGTACTGATCGTGGAGGGGAGTATCTTTCACATGGATTTATAAGTTTTTGTGAGTTTCATGGGATACAACGACAAGTTACTACAGCTTATACTCCTTAACAAAATTGAGTATGTGAGTGGAAGAATCGAACAATCATAAACATTGTGCGAAGCCTTTTACAAAAGAGCCATGTTCCAAAGGATTTTTGGCCTGAAAGAGTTTGATGGAGTGTTTATGTGTTGAATAGAAGTCCTTCTCGTGCTATTCAGAATATGACACCATAAGAAGCTTGGAGTGGACAACAACTAGATGTTTAACACTTAAGAGTGTTTGGGTGTATTGCATTTGCTCATGTTCCGGATCAGAAAAGGACAAAGCTTGATGACAAAGCCAATAAGTATGTTTTCATGGGTGTTAGCAGGGAGTCAAAAGCTTACAAGCTGTACAATCCTATCAGCAAGATGGTGATTATCAATCGTGATGTGGTGTTTGATGAAGATAATTTCTAGTTGTGGGAAGAAAAGCCAAACAACCAACAACTTCCTTTGGATCTTGACGATGGAGATAAGGAGCAAGAGCAATCAATAGCCGATGAAGGTGTTTCTACCTTGGTAAATCAAGAAGGAACCAGCTTTCGACCTCAACGAAATCGAAGAAGGCCAACATGGATGGCAGATTATGAGGTGAGTGGAAATGTTCAATCAATAAATAAAGATTCATCTACATGTTTAGCTTTATTTTCTGGTTGTGATCCCGTAAGATTTGAGGATGCCTATAAAGATGTAAAGTGGCAGAAAGCAATGGATGTTGAGATTGCCGCAATTGAAAAGAACAATACTTGGGAGTTTACGGATCTTCCAAAAGGCCAAAGATCGATTGGAGTTAGATGGGTTTATAAAACCAAACTCAATAAGTCTGGTGAAGTTGATAAGTACAAGGCACGTTTGGTGGTGAAAGGATACAAGCAAGAGTATGGTGTGGATTACAAAGAGGTTTTTGCTCCGATAGTCAGACTTGATACCATCCAATTGGTGTTGGCATTGGTAGCTCAAAACAATTGGCCAATTTATCAACTTGATGTAAAACCAGCCTTTCTGCACGGAGAGCTACAAGAGCATGTATATGTTGATTAACCTCCTAGTTATGTGATGCATGAAAGTGAGCATAAATTTATAGATTGAAAAAGTCTTTATATGGGCTAAAACAAGCTCTCTAAGCTTGGTATAGTCGCATTGATCCATATTTTAATTTGGAAAATTTTAGAAAATGTCCATACGAGCATACACTTTATACAAAACTTGAGGATGGGAAACTTGTGATTGTATGTTTATATGTAGACGATTTGATTTATACTGGGAGTGATCCTGCATTTCTTAAAAAATTTAAGCTATCCATGATGACTGAGTTTGATATATCTGGTCTTGGCTTGATGCATTACTTTCTGGGCATTGAAGTAAAGCAATCAAGTAGTGAAATTTTTATTTCACAAAAGAAATATGTCCAGGAAACATTACAGAGATTTGAAATGCAGAGTTGCAATTCTGTCACAACACCAACAGAGTTGGGACTGAAGTTGGAAAAAAATCCTATAGGAAAGAAGATTGACAACACTCTTTTCAAACAACTCGTGGGATGTCTGATTTATCTAACAATCACCAAGTCTGACATAATGTATTATGTTGGTCTTGTTAGCAGGTACATGGAGCACCCAAAAGAGATTCGTTTGTTGGCTTCTAAAAGAATTCTCAGGTATTTGCAAGGTACCACTGACTATGATATTCTATACAAGAAAGAAGGCAAGTCAGAGTTAATTGGCTTTACAGATAGTGATTTTGCTAGAGATAAAGAAGACAAGAAAATCACTTCAGGCTATGTGTTTATGCTTGGATCTGGAATTGTTTCTTGGTGCTCCACAAAAGTAGAGTTTGTAGCTGCAACTGTGTGTGCTACCCAAGCAATTTGGTTGAAAAAGATATTGGTTGAGCTTCATGTTCGACAGCAAAAACCAATTCTGATTTACTGCGACAATGGCTCAGCGATTAAGATTTGAAAGAATTCAGTGTTGCATGGACAGAGCAAACACATAGATGTTGAGTTTCACTTCCTGATAGATCTCATGAAGGAGAAAGTTATTGATTATGTTTACTGTAGAAGTGAAGACCAAGCTGATGATATCTTCACTAAGTCCCTCAAGCTAGCAACATTCAGAAAGTTAAGGAAGCTACTCGGAGTTTGCACTTTAAGGGAGAGCCACGATGAATGATGTTATTAAGCTGAAGTCGTAGACTTATCAATTTAAGGGAGGGTTTGTTAGATATTTTAATTAATTAAGCTAGTTTCTGCTTTTCTAGTTTTAAGGGTATATGGTTGCTATTTCCAAGTTACTGGAAACGTGTGACTTAGTAGGTCAATTTTAATTTCTTTTATGGCTTAGTGGTTGGATAATGTAGGATGTGTATTGCCTTTATAAAGGCTGTTCATTGTTTCAGTTTAGTGAGAATTTTACTACCTCCCAAACTCTTCTGTGTTTATCTTGATTTCTTCCCAGTTTTCTAATAATATGATCCACAAAAATGATCAAACTAAAGTAATACGTGATATGAATATAACTAATAATACTCCACTGGTATCATCAAGTAACAAAAATATGAGAAACAATACCCTATGCAAAATAATCAATGATACCATAAAAAATCTTCATATACTGTTATGGCATGATACTAACAAAATATATGATACCAGTACTTATGCATGATACGAAGCATATCATATGGTGCTCTAATAGTATGATCAATTCGAACATACAATACACTATAAAATTAGTCAATGTAAGGAATACAAAGTCTAATACTTTAAAACACAAACAATGTACCGAAATAAACATTTTAGTAAATCATACAACTAAGCATAAAGCATATCAAGACATGAACAAATACTTGATACCCAAACAACATATGATACTTGAATAATACAAAAAAGTAATAAAATCAACAAACACTAAAATGTTCAAATACACAAATAATCAAGAAACAGAAAGAAGATAAACATATCATTACTCATGCATGATATAAAACATAACATATGATACTCTAATAGTATAATCAAATTGAACAAGCCCATGATACTAAACAATATAAGATATAGTAACAATAACAGTGTCAATATCTAACCAATCAAAAATTAAATTAATTTATCAAAAAATAAATATGATTTAAGCATGATACCTTCAAATGAGAATACTGATCAATTCCTTTATCAAATTAGAAGGATCGAAACGACTATCAATATTTTGTTTTTCATTAATTGTTCATCACAAACCACGAGTGCCTTCCCCTTCCTCTTCAAATCAACCGAATTTTGCCACCCACATTATTAGGTTTTTGATCAGGCTTGTCAACACATGCAACTAGATTGGGTTTAGTTCCAACATTAACATCTCCATGGTCGATTCCTTCGTTTAAGCCAATATTATCTTCTCTGTAGGCATCCAAATTAATCAAAAAACTTGGCCCACACATGCTAGAAACTCTCGACTTCTGGCCAACTACATTATAATTGTTACTACCATTGTCAACAAAACTTGCATAAATGAACGATGACCCCACCAATGATTAGTTGCTATGTTTTTACAACCCATTGGAAACAATTCGAAAAATCAAGCAAAAAAATGATTCAAAAGTAAGCGTATGGAAAACAAAAATGAATATAAATGGAATAGGAGAAGAACTACCAAACACAAATTTGAGTAATTTTGACTGACAATGACAAAATAGAATCACCAAAATGACAGAAGAAACTACAAATGACGGTAGTGCTGCTTGTAGTTAAAATCATTGTATGTTGCTCCACTTAGTTTAACATGAGTAGGAAGGTTTGGCTATAAATCGGGTGGGCTTGAATAAGAAAGTGGGCCGAACGGTTGGGTGATAAACCGGATCGGCTTGAATAAGTGGTCGAACAGTTAAGTGATAAACCGATTGGGCTTGAATAAGAAAGTGACCCGAAATGAAGGGGAGGGGGGTATGGGCTGTAATTATTTATGAGAGAATGTGTTTATCAGGAATTACTTTGGGTTTGGGTATGAACTTGTAATTATTTTAGGTTTTATGTCCCTTTTATGTAGTTTTTCTGAAATAAAATCCATGATTTTATTTTAAAAAATAATATAAATTGGTTCAATTCGATTCGATTAGGTTCGATCGGTTTTTCATATTATTTTGAAACCCCTGATGAAAACTAACATATACGACACTTACCTCATTACCCCACTTACTCACAAATTGGGGTAGCAAATGGTGGATTGGATCGAATTTGGATGGATTGACTTAAAATCGATTGGATCATAATCAACTCATATAAAATATGGGTAAATATGGATTTGGTCAAATATGATTTGAGTAAAATGGTTGTAACCCACTTTAATCTCCTAAAGCCAAAAAATATTAAATCAAAGCTAAATTGTTAATACCTCAACCCCTACCACACACCTCACCCCTATATTATTATTATTTTTTAAATAATATTTTCATGCAAAAAAAAAAAGAATTTTTTTTCTACCCTGTACCCCCACCACCTCCTCCCCCAACCCCAAAATAAATTTTTAATTTTTTTAATTTAATATGAGAAAAATGGATCCATTTCACGTATATGAGCTGAAATTGTCACCCCTACACAAAAATGCATGGGATAAAAATAAATATTCTGATTAGAATAAAATTAAGAGTCCAAAAGAAGTTAAACATTATTTTTAGAAAAAATGAAATGGATAGAGAAGAGTTATATTAAATGTGGTAACTTTTAAATTTTAAAAAGAATACGTTTAAAAAAGACTAATAATTGATTTTAATTAATACTTTCTTAATTTTTTTAATCTATAATTTTTATAATTTTGTTGTGTCAACAAATGATATTATCACCTCTCCTATTATATATAGAGATAGATTGAGTCGACACGCAAATACCAAAAAAAGAAGGAGAAGAAAAGGAAAAGTAAAATAATAAAAATTTAAGGAATAACCATTAAAAGATATAGTGTAGTGAATAGGATTGCTCTTCTCTAAATCAAAGGTCTCAGATTCATGTTTTGTATATAAGAATTTTTTTGGAAATGCACTTCCTCCGAATAGAGCCTTATACGACGCAAATTAAAAATAGCCTGAGTCTAATAACTATGAAAAAACAAAATTAAGGTATAGCAGCAGTGTGTCAAAGGAGGAAACAGGTGTTACTGCATGCTGCTGACCCATCTTTTCCTTCTCATTTACTATGCCACTTGTTCCTCTCTTGTTTCATTTCATTTATTCACTATACTCACCCCTCTGCTTATTAATATTATTATTACCTCCCTTCCCAAGAAACTGCACAGACTTGCAGAGCAACAAGAAAAATGGACTCAAAGAAAATGATTTCACCAAGAAAAAGGATTAGGAAATATCATACAAGAAAAGCTCCAATCATTAACTCATATACAGATATGGCTGAAGCTAGAAGAGAAATTGTCCATGCTTTACACCTTCATAGATCTTCATCATTTAATAACCCAAACAATTATGCCTTATTGGGTCAAAGAGGTAACAATACTCAAAATACCAATTACATTTATATTTATCCTTTATTTAGTAAGATTTTTCAACTTACTTACATTTTTTAGAAAGTAGCTAGTTTTAAAATAATCAAAAGAGTAATACAAAAAAGTACTTTTAAATATTTTTTCTCACTACTTTTGTCAAATGGTATATATGTTCTATTCCAATAATTCATGGATTAGAAATAGTAGTAGTAGGTGTGAAGTGGAATTTCCCCCCATCAAATTAAATGACAAAAATAAGTAGCAACTACACTGTTTGAGACATGAAATTTGATGCATGTTCTAAATAGCTTTCTTTCAACACTACAAATTCGACCTCATTTGTTACTCTCTCTCTCTGTCTTAATTTTAATTTAGTTGTCTAGTTTTGATTTTTCATAAATTTTAAGAAAGTAAAAAAAAATAATTAAATGTTTTTAAATCTAGTAGAACATTTTAGAATGTACTAATATGTTCTATAATCTTCTAATCTTGATCTTTAATTAGACATGTAGAAAGGTAAAATTAAATAAAAAGAAAGAGACATTTTTATTTCAAAAGTCAATTAAGAAACAAGTAGGACAAACAAAGTTAAACAGTCTTGATTCTTTTTTCTTCTTACTTTTTATTTGTTCTTTTTTACAGTAAATTCCCAGCAATATTATTACTCAATAGTGGAATCTATGCCTATCCCTAAACCAACATGGTCTACAACGGCTCCGGCAATACATACAGCACCACCACCGCCTCCGCCTCCGCCTCCACCGCCATCTTCTTCCGAGTTCGATTGGTGGCTAGGGTTTCTTAAGTCGTTGGATGTGAAGAAGAATACAAGTAGAAATGATAGTCATGAAGTAGACTTACAAAAATACTTCCCAGAAAACATTTTGATGGAAAATTCAAAGGTGATTAGTCAATTACAAGATGGATTAAAGAAGGATTCAACTAATAATCTTATAGATGAGTGGTTAATTATCCCTACACCTGATGATGATAATGTATTAATTGAGTTTTAATTAAGTTAAAACCTAGAGATACGTTAGTGGCTATTTCCTGATCAGTTTAGTAATTTTTGTATGTTTAATTCATTTATATATTTTATTTTACTAGGAGAAGAGGTTAGTGGCTGGCTGGCTATTTTATGTAATTCTTCCTTATTTTGTTGTCTAATCTACAATGCAATAATACAAACAATGTTCACCAAGTATAATACGTTAGATTAGTTATGAAAAAAATGTATGTATTAATTTATGAAGGGCTTAGTTATATGTATGGTATAGTTATTTACATATTGTTTATGTATATATTAGTTATTTTCTTTTCTATTCTATATAGAATTATACATATATTTACTAATAATTTATATACATGTATAGTACTTTATATAGGTTTTAAAATTGTAAATTAAATACTACATAAATTTTATACATAGTTCTAATCAATTATCAAATATGGTAGTATTATTTTTGCAAAATTGTATGTATTATTTTTATGCAAAACTATATGTATTATTTTTAAGTTAATCAGTTTGCAATATTTTTCCTATATCGGATGACTTTCCAGTGTTTTAATTTGGTTGGACATAAAATTTAAAAAGTAAATGGAATTTAAATTTTTGTATCAAATGTCAAAGTTAGATAGACCACTCTATATTTAACCTCAAATACGCGTATCAAAGAACACGTTCTGAAATACAAATAAAAAGAGACAAGCAAGATAGTAAAAAGGCGACTGAAATAGGAGAAAGGCAAGGAAGAGAGTGTATTTCAGATAAATCACATTAAATACAACCCTGAGGGGTAGCTCAGCTGGTAAAGGCCTGGGACAAAGTCCTTCAGGTCGGCGGTTCGAGCCCCAGCAGGGCCACTGGAGGCATTACAAACCGGCCGCGTCTCCAGGGCCCCGTGGAACTAACCGTGGTGGACCCGCCTTGAAACAGCGGGACCCGGTGGGTACAGCTAGTCGGGTTCGCAAAGCGACGCCCGGAAACCACGGTAAAAAAAAAAAAAAAAAAAAAAACATTAAATACATATATCTAGGATATCAATTACAGTCAAACTATATAGACAGAGAAGCGGGAAAAATAGGAAAGAGGTGAACGAAAGAATTAGTATATCCTAGATACATATGAATCATGTTTGTACTTTCACTATAACAAAAACAACTTTTAGCGGCAACAAATAGACACATTAATAAAGAGTTGTTAAATCCTTTACTGACATTAGTTAAGCTATTGCCGTTAATTAATTGCCGCTAAAGATTATTTTTAATAAAGTGTTTGTATATAGCGTATCTAAAAAAGTTACATTTAATTTGATATATATATATATATATATATATATATATATATATATATATATATATAAAAGTGTGTCAGATACATGTATCTAATAAAATAAATAAATATAATATAGAAGATAATTTTAAAAATTAAAATAAAGTCACTTAATTAAGTTCTAAAGTAATAAAGTTTATATCGTTGCTTTTTTGAAATTACGTAGAATATTGAAATTGACAAACATACTAAATAGTGAAAAAGACTCCTTTTGAGACAAGAATTGTCACGAAGAAAGTGATTTTTATCCTGAATCAAGAAAATACTTTTGTGATTGGAACATGCTCTAACGTATATCGAGTAATTCATAGATCATCTTTGCATTCATGTAATATGAAATAGGGACTATTTGTATCGATATTGTCGGGTCTGGTTATCCTTATTCAAGTTGGGTCTTTCTTTTAGTGGTTATTGGGTTTGTTAGGAAAGCCCAATATCTCAAGAGTCTTATTAATAAGCTTAGTTTAAGTGTTTTTTTTTTCTTCTGGTAAACTACATAAATCTCACTAGTTTAGGTCCTAATTATGAAGATTTCCGATAGTTTCAAATATTAGTCCTTTTACCATATTTCGTTCTTAGCAGGGGCGGAGCCAACATGTCTTTAGGGGGGTCATCTGACCCCCCTTCGGTGGAAAACATTACTATATATACATGGTTGAAATTATTTTTTAGATATATATAATAGATGTCGAACCCCCTTAGACTAGTTTGTATGTTTACTCCTTCGAATTTTGAACCCCCTTATTGAAAATACTGGCTCCGCCACTGGTTCTTAGGATACATGAGTCTGAATCTGCGAGATATATGTATCTGTCGAATTTTAAAATCAAGATACATATTTTATTTGTTTAAATTAATCGGTTGTAACTAATTTTCTTAATTAAAGGAGTGATTGAGGATTTTTGGACGATTAATTCTGAAAATTTAAATTAATTAAATCTCTTAATATAAGGCATAAATCAAGGAGTGTTTTTATGTTTAATTATTATTCTTTGAAATAATAAATTCATTAATATTATTAATAAAAGACAAAAACATGTATACTTGGTCATGTAGTTTGATTAATTTCATTTTATTACTCTTAAAATAATAAATTCATTAATTTGATGTATCTATTATCAATATATGATTTAATCACCAAACTAAACACTTAGATACATGAGTATCATACAAGTACATTCATATGTATCCTAGAAGTATCTAGTATTAATTTTATGTATTTACGTATATGTATCTAGTATTAATTTCATGTATCTATTTATATGATCTAATATTATTTCATGTATCTTTTATATGTATAATTTGATGTATCAAGTATCAATTTCATACTTTATATCCAAAAACATGTATCTCAGATACATAGTAAGCATATACATCTAATTATGTGTATCTAAATATGGAATGTTATTGAAACGCGTGAATTTAGAAACAAATCACGATTGTAGAGTATTTGTTGTATTTTTAATAAAAAAGTAAAAAATTGAAAATTCTTCCCTTTATTTTTAGTATCTAATTTTTTTTCTCATAGATACGTATAATCTTAACTCAGATAGATTAACTCTTAACTAGATACATGTACATCTAAAACCCTTCGTATCTCTCTCCTCTTCAGCATAGACCACCGCCACCTCCGTTGCACGTTTCCTCGCCATCATGAAATCGTCGTCTCTGATAAAAACTTCACCAAACTAGCAGGAAATCTTTTGTTCTTCGTAGCGCTCTTCTCCTAGGTACACCGAGGAATTGAAACTTGATGATGTTGTACATACTGTTGTACTGACCTTGAAGGAGAGGTAAACATCTTAACTTTTTTCACATATCCATTATTGTTGTAGTCACGAATTTCTCCTCTTGGTTTGGTGTGTTTTTATACATCCCTATTCTTTTCTTGAAAAAGGATGTAATTTTGATCCCCTCAATTTTGATTCATTGGTTAAAATGAGGATTAAGGGAAGAAGAAAAGTTTGATTTTTACCCTAGCTCATATTCTTTGATAGGAAGATATTTGTTTTTAATTAAAACACTAATTTTGGAGTTAAATGTAAAGATAATTAATTAATCCTAGTTTTAAGGGATATGGATATTGATTGTATCTTCATATAAAATATTAAAAGTGGTAATATATGTAACTGTTTAAAAATAGAGGTAAAATTAGTACATATGGTAGTGATATATGTCTAATAAAGTAGTTTATCCTTCTTACTTTTTTTTGGAGGTAAACAACATCAATTTCATTAGTTTAGGAATGATTTTTTTGTGTGATGAGTCTATAATATTATCAATTCTATCGTAATTTGTATCATGAATGTATGTATCTAGTGCATTTAGATATATGTATCTCAAATATATGTTAAATATATATATATATATATAATTAATAAGTGGAGTCCAGAGCCAAAAGGGCAACAAAAATTTTCGAAAATTCCAAAAGGGCAACAAAATTATTTATCAAATCAAAAAGGCAACAAATTTAAACACCGTCTAAATCAGGGTTTCCACCGCAAGGCGCGGATACCCATACGACCTGTAAGGCGCATGCAGCTTTTAGCTTTGTAAGGCACAGACGCCATGAGCCTTACTTTCGCCTTGTAAGGCTCATGGCGGTATGTGCTTTGCTGCATTTTCTTAAAAAAATAAATTTTGCTTTAATTTACTGCTTTTTCTAAAATAATTTTTTTTTCTTTGCTGCTTTTTCTAAAAAAAGATAATTTTGCTTTACTGCTTTTTCTTTAAAAAAATGCTTTAATAAAAAGTTTGCTTTAATAAAAAAATTTGCTGCTTTGTTGTAAAAATTATTCGTCTAGAATGTAAATTTACTTGCTTACATTCACTGGCCGAAGAGCTTGAGTGTTAGTAACTTCTACAATATCATGATGTAATGTCATGTTTCTGGAGATAACAATCAAGTTAAATGATTTCAAATTTGAAGGAGAAAGTTTGAATTTCAAATTTGATTTTTATGAGATATTTAAAGTTATTTGCTCATGAAATTTGAAGACATTTGAGAGCATTTACATTTCACCAATTATTCTTTTTTTTTAAAAAAATAATTTCTCCTTCATCTTCTTCCTTTCTTCATCCATTTTTTAACCCTATTTTTTTGTGTAAGCATGATTTGGAAAAAATGTTGATGGATACAGTGGTGTGGTGTTTGATGGTTCGTCAGGTCGGCGTCTTGCTGCTTGTCAACAGTGACGACAACTAAAGGGGTTTTGATTATGTGAAGTTGCTGCTCCAATGGTGTAGATGGTCTGGTTATTTCACTGTTGTTTGTTGATTGAAGCTCCGGCGTGAAGATCCGTTTGGAGTAGTGACGGAAGAGGGATGAGAGAAAGAAGAAAGACTATAAATAAAGAAAATATATAAATAAAAATACATATATTCATAAAAAATAATTAAAATAAAATTTTAATAATTTATTTTTGTTGCTCACTCTCTCAAAGAGAGTGAAATACGCCAACTTTGTCAGATCAGCAATTAGAGAGGCAATAATTTAAGTTTAAAAACAGTTTAGGGGGGGGGGGGGTGATAGGACCCCCATAAAGTTAAAGTGTGTAGTTGAGAATTCGACAATAAGTTGGGGGGGCTATTTGACCATTTTCTCTAATCTATGTATAATTAGTGCAAACACAACTAATACATGCATTACTAATGCACTCAATTTTAGCACTATTCTTATAC